ATCATGACGATTTCATAATCGAGACCGTAGTGTTTACCCAATACCGACGCAAATCATTAAAAAATCTATAACCACAGTGTAATAATGAGTTAATTTTGGAAATTAACTCATTACACTTTAGAAATTATCTTATTAATTTAGAATTTCATCAACTGTTTCTTTGCAGTCATCTCGTTATGACTTCTTATCTTATTCTTGCCATATCATCTTTCACACAGTCCATCCCTTTTTTTGCCTTCCTCTACCCTAATAGCCATTCACAGTTTGTCTTGAAAAAACATGTAGAGCAATATAAAACTCTATGGTCAGTCAGGTCATGTAATCGATTATTTCTCTATGTGTTAGGTATTTAAAAATATATTTATTTCTGTAAAAAAAAATACATAAATTTGACGCTGCGCTAACTAGGTCGCAGGCAGTTCTTTTATAAATTTATAGAGGCGAGTCATACAAAGCTCTACAATCTATATTCCTTGTAATAAATATATGTATATATGGGATCCATATCTCATCTACATATATGTTTATCACAAGAAATATTGATAAATTATTCCTGCTACATTCAGAATATATGTGTTAGGACATATCTACAACGCAGTTCTCCATGAAGTTTATAATATTATTAAGATTTATGTAATAAATAAGGAGATATATTTCCTCTTCTACCGACGCCGTCATAGCACTTATGGTCAGACTTGCTTTCATTGTACCTATTAACCTAAAAGTCACTTACTTTCACTATATTTCTCGGAGTTGAAACTGTCGAACACGCACATCGCTTACGTAAATGAATTCAGACACTTTTCCAATGATTATATTACTCATTTAACTTAATATGTTTTTGTTTTTAAAGTTATGGAATAATACTAACAGGTCACTACATAAAATGTCTTTATATTGGGGGAAAGGCAGTTGCTAGTAACAGGGAATTGTTGCTAATGTTGATCGATGACCAGACTGCTAGCAATGTAAGGTTGACCTCCATGCGGTTCCCTCTGGAAATTACAGGTCAGTTAGACCATTGTAATAAATTCATCAGGAATTCTTCACGATGGGCTAACTGTCCTGTATTTATCCTACCTTCCTCCACTTGTGTAAACCAGTAAAGCAGGCGGGTGCATCATTTCATTGTCAACCATTAAAAAAATGTTTACATTACACTTGCTTGTTAAAGGATGATAATAATATGGTTCACGCGCCTGTGTTAACAGTACATTGTATTGAGGCACCAGCTGAAGTTCATTGTGGCGATAATTTACATAGTTTTATACTAATAAAGTCCCTGTCGCTGTCTATTCGCTTATATCTTTAAAACTACGCAATGGATTTTAAATATTTTAATGCAGTTTTCAGTAATAGTTGGAATTATTCATGAGGAAGGTTTATGTGTATAATACATATAATAACAATACAACAGAACAAGCCTAGAAATTCAAAGATTTGTAATGCATTCGTGTGATACCGGAACACCGCTAGTTCATTAAATAAATAAATTAATTAACTATGACAGTTTGCAATTAGTTACAGAATGCGTGGATGTCGACCTGCATGTACAGTTGCATATTAAGCCAGGACTTTCACTTAAATAAAGATTTTATATGATTTTAAAATAGAAATAAGCTGTTTATATATTTCTCGGAGTTGAAATGGTCGAAAACGAACATTGTTTATGTAAATGGATGTAATCTCCTCTCTGATTATATTAGTAATTTAATTTAATATGTTTTGGTTTCTAAGCTAATGGGTATGTAATAAAACTAAGCGCTCAACTGATAGAAAGTGGTAAATATAGACATGAAAAGAACCACAGACATTATAAAAACATCGTAGAATATTATAAATAACTGCATAGAAAATATATAGCTGGTTACCTACTACTTCTTTGCCTCTATCAACGCATTCTTGGTACTCCTTATCTCACAAAAGTCTTTGTTATTGAATGCATTTCAATAGTATAGTAATTATGAAATAATATATTATATATTTACTAAATTAATTTATAACCGAAATTAGATATATCTATTGAATAGAAAAGACGTACAAAAGAAAATAATTTTATATTAGATATTATTATATCAGAAAATTTTGCTGTTTCTAAGAGCAATGCACAAACTCACAGATATCCAGATATTTATGTCTGCTTGTGTTGTCCACTTAGTTGCTAACATAAATAGGTACATCTCACATATATATGTATGTTCTTCTTCAACATATTTAATGTAGAGACACGCTTCGTTTATAACTTTTTTATAAGTAAGATTACCATCATTGTATTGTTATGATAGGGTTCAAAATTGTTTACATATTATTCTTGTGGCTGTACTATAATACCCACTCATGTCATACCACTTTTGAGAAGTGATCTTATATGTCTATCTTGTGTGACAGAGATGATAATGACCATTGGACCTACACTTGAGACAAAACATTAGTAGCCCACAAGATTTTGGACTATTTTATTTTTTATTTATGTGATGTGATATAGGACCTATATTTCTTAGGCGAATTTTATCGATACTTTTGTATAGCTATTCAGAGTAGGTACATAGTTAATCGTACACATATAACTTACGTTGTTAACATACCTTCATGACCCTTATCCCAGGTGGGATAGTCAGGGTCATTACGTCAATTCAACAGAACAGCATCATCAAGAGATTAAGTCAATATGGTACCTACTTAGAGTTAGCGCAGATGAAGTAAGATCGTTTGAACGTATGACCACTCATTTCTATGACCATAAGGTGTTAAAACAAACTCAAAGTTACCTAGACTTTTATCTTGAGATTATACATGATAGATATAGTCAAAAAACATTTTTTGATTATACCCTGGGTTCTATTATGTGTAGCGGAATTAAACAAAACAATATGAAATAATGAAATGTACTTCCGCAAAAGAACACCCAATTTTATAAAATAACTATCTGACCCAGCTAACGTTGATTTGCCATATAAATTATAATCGCTATTAATAAATATGGGTCGGTGATAGAAGGGTGAAAATTTAGGGTTGTATATATTTTAATGCAAAATTAAAAAAAAAACGAAATAATAAAAAAATATGTAACTTAATATAACTTATCACTAATGGGTATGAAAAATAGATTTTTAGAATTAACCTTCATTTTGATTTTATAAAAATCGGTAAAGCTGTTTCGAAGGAGTATGGTAACTAACATTATGACACGAGACTTTTATATATATATGTAGGTATATACATACACTAGCTGATCCCGTGAACGTTGTTTTGCTATATAAATAAAAAAAAATAGGGGATTAATGGTAGATGGCTGAAAATTTGGTGTTGTATATATTTTTAATGCCACATAAATGAATATAAATAAAAAATTTTGCCCAAAATATAAAAAAAATATGTTAGGGGTGGACAACCCTTATTACTTAGGGGTGTGAAAAATAGATAGTAGCCGATTCTCAGACCTACTGAATATGCATATAAAATTTGATAAAAATCGGTCAAGCTGTTTCAGAGGAGTATGGTAACTAACATTATGAGACGAGAATTTTATAGTATAGTAAACGACTTCTAAAATAGTACGAGTAGATCACATATAGAAATTGATGAGTTCCTTCATGGTGAATTTTGTTAAAAAGCATATATCTACTGTGTATGACATTAGTATTTAAGAGTCAAAGGTTATATTATTTAAGTATATTTCATCAAAATCTAGATTACCTTTTGAACATTAAAAAAATATGTCAATGACAGGATTATTATTGTTTTTTATACTTATAAAAGTTACTGACTAAAGGAAACTACTCCACGTAAGTGGTTATCCTTAACTTGCTCATTGTCAATGCCCAACACGCATTCATTTTATCCTGTAATCTCTTATGGAGCAGTCTGATACCTACCTAATTTCATATTACTTTTAAGATCATAATCCAAGAACTGGTAACTCTTGCTATATTTTTTATTATTTAATTGGAATGGGAAACAACTTGAAGGCCTACAAGGTTGTAAACAAATGGTAATGGTGAATAGCACCATATATATCACGTTATCATGTGTCACTCATGATAACACATAATTATTTCTTATTCACTGTGTAATCTAAGTTACCCTAAGTTTGTGGCGAATATATCGCGCGACCCCATCATAGCTGCTAAAAGTTGTTTACTAAGATCATATGAATATCCGAAATATATAAAAAAAAAATTATTTAAATAAATAAATAAAAATGAAATAATCCCCTACAACCGAAACACAATTAATAAAGAAAGCTGCTTATAGACTGATATAGGTGAGATTGAGGTACTAACCAAGCAGATGACTATTTGCAGTCTACTTAATTTATGATATAAATATGAAATGAAATGAAATGAATATTTATTGCTTAAAATGTGGTACATGTGTGGTTTTTAAGATCTTTAGAACTAGTTTCACACATTTTGTCATTTCTGACATGCAACAGACAAAACAGATGTCAATTTTGGTTATTATTCGATAGTCAATATTAAGTACGTACATTATTTATAATATGAGTATGTCAACTTCGTATTAATGAAATATTTATAAATTATACATGTCAATGTTTTTAATTAAGTAAGTACTCTTGAACACTGTAGTAAGATTTGCTGATTAGCCATCTATGTAGTTCTTTCTTGAATTTGATGACATATAATCTTATATCTGGTCATTAAAAGATTGACAAATAGACATTATACTTTTGCGTTTATAATATAATAATTAAAATCTAAGTATATTATATCTAATTTAGATTTTATATACAAAAAACTATTGCGTATTCGCTCGAGGACATGTACCGTCTATAAGATTTTTTATGTTGAGAGTCCCTCGAATAATACTCGTTTTGAGCTATGTAAATAAATTCATTCCTTAAATAATATTATTTAATTTTAACGTATTCGTAAACATTAAAAGTACATAAACAGGGCATATCTACCGGTAAATCATTTAAGGAACAAAATTAAGTTTAAATTATATATTACTTACTAGATATTTAATTTCATACGTACCAATTTAAAATTTATTGATTTTGACTGCCTCGGTGGTCTAGTGGGATGGCACACCACTTTAGTTCTGATGGTCGCCGATTCGATACCGCGAGGTAACGAAATATAGCGTTAATCATTGTCAATAAAGATACTACAGAACAGCAGCGGTCACTTTTTCACCAAAACGTACAATATATACAATATATATACATTATAATAGAATAAACTGTTAGCTCATGAAACCTCTTTCATTTTATAAACATTTTACAATAAAACACAAATAATAAATAGACGATTGAAATATAAACAACTGTAGGTTCCACTATTGAGTACTAAGATATTATCATCGTAACCAGTATTTCACTGCCATTTCTAACCAATCAGACTGGAACTACCGTGCAGTCAAGATGCTTGATGGTAGTAAGTGACACAGAGCTATCTAAACGTCTTTGTATAAAATCTACCTTTGATTACCCAAGTATTCAACAATAACATCAGATCATTAATTTTTAGAGTACAGAACCGTCTTAATGGTTTTTATATCCCTGGCCGGTTATTTTTACCTTTCATAACGGTAGTATTCCAATAATACTGAGATGAAACAAGAAAATACATCTCCTTCATTTTGCCAGTCATGCAGTCATGATTAAATGATTGTGTGCCATTAAAGTACCTATCTAATCATCGATATGACTGACGTAGTTAGTCGTATGTACACGCAAACGTTATTCACCGATTTTTTTACCTATTAAAGCATTTTTATATAATTAGACATCTTATACCTTATACCTAGGTAAATCAAAAAGGTTGGGTTGTAATATACCTTTAATTTATTTCTATGTAAAATATAAATATTTAATATATATTTTTAAATTTGAAATTTAGTTTCTAATACTTTTTTAAACTTAAAAAGCGACTTTATTCCATCACAGATAGATTGTTGTACATTTTAATATTTTATTTTTATAAATTATTTAAAATCTATCAACAAATATTGTAGCGTATAAATGACTGAACGACGTTTTTTATTAATTTCACTATGTAATTATTCTCTTAGTGTGATTTTCCATACGCTACAACACATATACCTATACTCTTCATGAATATAGTCCTGGCTGAATGAATTAAAATGATAAAATTTAGTTAAAAAAGGATTGAAAGCAACACTTACCACGTTTTTATTATAAAAAAAATCGATACGGAGATTCAAGCACAAAACTATCACAGGTCCAAACGTTGCCGCGGTTAAGTAAAAACTAAGCTAAAGCTATCATACCGCTTTCCGTTTCGAATTCGAGCAACAATAAAACAAGTTTTTTTTCTGTTGTTATAGTTTCTGCATGTCGGGTTATCATTTGTAATTACGGAATAATGTGTTTATAAAAGCTATATACCTAGTAGTTTTAATAAAGTCGATATATTTTACATTAAGCTTTTACTCTTAACGAATAATAATAATCTCAGGACAATTCACACAGCGCCATCTAGACCTAAGTGAAGCTAGCTAAAGCTTGTGTTATGGGTACTAGATAACTGACACAAATACATAGATTTTTTTTTTCGTAAATACATACATATGAATAAATATAGAAGAATAAACCTACTATTGGCCCGTAAATTAAGAACAGGTCTTCCTTACCAATTTCCTCGCAGTCCAAACTTCTATGATTAACTAAGTTGTGTTATGAAGCGGTTCCGAGGGTGAGTTGAGGAGTAGCACCCTTGCAAATATGTAAAAATTGTCTGTCAATTTGTAGGTTTAAATTGATTTCAATTCATTTTTAAAACTATATTTTGAAGATAAAAACTACTCAGCTGGCTATAGTATGGTATGGTGTATATCTCAGCTTATGTAAAATCGCTCGATCAATGTTTTCGATCAGGAGCAAAAAGCCTCTGTCTCGAAGACTATATGAATTAGTTTACTTCCCCGGCTCGCGTGATCTCAACGCTCGTGATCAAATATTTTGTATTTGTCAACTTCTCAGTTTTAGTATGTAATATTATATTATCTGTGGTTTTAGTAAACATTAATAAGCATAATTGGTCGTAATATAAATTGCGTACCTAGTTATATAATATTGAACTAAAATTAAAATAACCCTGAAATGTATTTACATAAGCAGAATTAGTGCGTACGTGATGTAGATTTAGACACACTATCTCCTAGATATAGAACTAGAGACCTAATAGTAATAGTCTGATTGGGGGAAAGGGAATTGTTAGTAATGTGGACTAATAACCACAATAGTTCAGGCTGAGATAGTACATTACTAGCAGTAATGTACTATCTCAGCTTGAACTCGACACGGTTCCCTCTAGAACTTATTGTGATGGCAACTGAGCTGACATTCATTTAAGAGGAATGTATCACGATAGTTTCCAGGAGGAACCGTGGCTAGTCAACATTACAACGTAGGTACATTGTTAGTAACGTGTTCACTAGCCCACATTACTAAGTCCCTTACCCTCCTTTGGTCTGGAGTAAAACTAGTTAGAACGTGACCTACAATTACGGTTTAATCTAGACCTAGGTTATCCTTGAGTTACAGTTGAATTTAGCTAGAATAACCGTTGTTTACAGTTTACGTGAACTTGACGAAAACAATAGTGGGTCAAAGCATAAGTCATAGCCATTTCCTTAATGATTTTTAAATATATTTAAATGTATGATGCTTAGCGTCTTACTGTGAAGCATATTATTACCAAACTATCATAGTGGAAATACCGGCCCTAAATTTAAACTATATAAGTTTTCCTATCGCGGTTGCAGATACCAAGTAAAAATGTGACAACACGGCCTCCTAACAGAAAATACTCATATACCTATAATATTTACCGATACCTACATTTCTACGTCCATAGCGTTCATAACAACCGGCCGCTAATATGTTTGTTTTCTTAGATTTGTCCGCTTTCAAGTTATCTGAACAAAACAGGTAAGTTACGTGATAAAATAGCTATTTAATATTATAATTGTATAAATAACATAAATAAATACAAATTAGCATATAGCTTCTTTTTCCAGTACTATTAGAAGATTATTAAAATTTAGATTTTAATTTTTTAAACCTTTAAAAAAGGACATGTTTTAAATGTATGTAACATTTAAAACATGTCCTTTACAAACACAACAAATAAAAAAATAGATATAAAGCTTTCGGCAATTGATTGTTATTTAATCTTGTGTACATTTAAAAACTAATTATCACATATGCCATAATTGAAGAGTATTCGTCAACAGTTTTTATTGCGATTTATTAATGCATTGAACTCCGTATTCAGCCAAGCATATTTAAATAATTATGTACATATCTATTGTTTTTTTAGATAATGATGTAATACTGACTCTGCTTTGACAATAGAATATGCTGGTAGGACAACACTGGAAGATTGTTATTGTGATTGAACAAGATGAAGTTAAGTAAATAACCGACTATAACTACAACTTTGTAAAAAGGTTTTTCGAAGTTTGAAAATTGAAAATTTTTAATTGAAATATTGAAAAAAAGTAGTTACTTTAAGTTTATGTTAGACCTAAAATTAATATTAAGTAAAGTCATAGTCGTAGGTACGTCACTAGTCGTCGTAGGTACCTGTTTTTGTCGCTAAACAGATTATTTAAAGGATGTGTTTTGGTTGTTTGCTTATTGAGTTAAGTACTAAAATATAAGAGACATATCTTCGTAGTCTTACAGAAAGACTGCGCATGGATAATATCCCAACTGTCACGTGATAACGTGATGTCCGTAGTGCTGATCATACTCGTATATACAACGGTTACCACTTACCTTAAACAAGACTGCAATAATATATAACCAATTTAGCAAACAAAATAAAACTTCAATAAACATTTACTACTTTTAATTATTTATTTCTTAAAAATACTAAATTGTGGACACTTATTTTATTCTAAAATAGATCATTACAGATTTATAATATAAATATAATTAGCTACCTTAAATACATCTAATTTATTCGCTATTGTATACTAATTAAAAATAGATTGGAATGTTGTTTCAGAAAATAATACATAGATTAAAAATAATATTGTAAAGCATAATATATTTACGCCAGAAGATCAGACCAGTATAAAACAAAATTCTTGCAATCACTTATCGAGTAAGAGTGACAAAGTTCTTAAAAGACTTTTACCTCCTCTTAAAGGAATTTATGAGAATTAATGTTTACATTTGCTTATATTACTTTCTTATATCAAACTCGGCAATTACTTACTGTGTACATACGAGAAAATTGGGAAATTACACACCAATAATTTCATATTATAAATAGAAAATGTTCAGCTATTTTTACATTTACAAAACCCACTATTAAAGCAGTAAATCACTGAATACGTTGCGATATTATGACAATACAAGTATTTTATAAACATACTAACTATTGCTTACGACTTCACGTGCTTAGAATGAGTAGTCCAAGTGGTCTATTTCATATTTTCATGTTACTCCTTACTGGAAATTGGGGTACCTACTGATTGATTACTCATACATATTTCATCCCCCATTACACCCGCTTGCATATTATTTTTTAAGATAAAGATAGATTCAGTTGCGAAAATGCAAACAGACAGACACTTTAGCATATTTATATATTAATATTAGTATGAATTAAAATATGGCAAGAACACTAGATAATAATATTCTACGTAATTACTATTTAGTGATTACTAATACTAAGTTAAAGTTGTCAATACTATATAACTATAGAATAATGTGATGTTAATAAACTTACTGTCTTAACCTAAGCTTTACACGATCTATAAGAAAAATAGTAATAAAAAAATACTGCATAAATTGATATATGTAAAGTAATACAAAATGTTATTCTCAAATAAACTATTATTAAATTCATAATAAAAAGATACGCTTCAAAGAAATCAATAATTTTAATTAGATAACATTTATTTAATAATTCCAATATTACCTGAAGTCTATGGAAAATAATAGTTTACTTATTATAATGAATAATTATCTTACAAATAGACAATATCTCTAATGTTTTCGAATAAAAAAATACAATAAAAAGAAAAATAATAATGAAATTTAGTTAACATGTTTTATTTTTTCCAATTATTTTAATATTGAATGAAGTCTATGGAAAATAATAGTTTACTTATTATTATTAGTAATTACCTTACAATTACAGTATTTCTAATGTTCTAGATCAATGTTTATAATTCTAAGTTGGGACAAAACAAAATATACATATTATATTTGATTATATAAATTATTATAATTACGTAATTGAATAAATAGCAGTTAATAATATTATTGCCATTTACAAAAAACAAATAAATTGTCTTTCCATATAATAAAATAAGTGCTATTTATTTATTAAATTATAATAGTACGTTATTTAATTTAATTAAGTACTGTTTGGAAAATTTTATTTAGTCACCGAGTAACCAACTCATTATTTATAGATACAATAAAAATGTACTAACAACTATTTGTTTAAAAAAAATATATGGCTCACTTATGGCCGTAATATTTAATTATAATAAAAAAAAACAATAAAAAATGTAACATTGAGTATTACACTTATATTAACTAATAATAAAGCTAAAATATTTACTTCCATACACAGGAATGTAAAAGCTGTTTGCAGTCATGAATGAAAATATAAATAATTATTAGACAGAAAAAAAGAGATTCGTTGAACAATATATTGATTAAAGAATCTCTTGTTATCTGAAATACATGGTATATCATGTATTTTGTTTAAAAAATAATCATTTTTCTAACATTGACTATAAAATAAAAATATAAAACTTACTTACGTTTTTAAATACTTACATCCGATACCAATTCCAATTTAACAATAATTTCTTATAGAATTAAAGTAACTAAAAGAAAATTAACAACATAATCAAAAACATATCGGTAAATAAGCGCAATCACTGTAAAATATATCAATATTTCATGAATTGCTTATTTAAAACAGAAAACTGTTTCCTTTCATTATTGTATTCACTTCACAAAAGTGCTGGTTTAGTTGCATGCTCTATCTTTTTGGGCCAGGGCTTACATAACACCCGGGAAGAGAGCCATTAAAGATTTTGTTACTTTCTGGTATATAGTTTCTAAATAATATTATAAGTTAGTAAATGTACAACAATCCATTAACATTACAGTTTTAACCAATTACCAAAAGATTTCAATTCCACTGTATAGTTGAATGTATGATACGAGATAACTTCGCTAAAACTTAATAGATATCTATAAATTTTATTTAAAAAATATTTGGATGGATATAATTATTACAAAATAAAAAAAAAACAAATACCCATTAAGTTTGGACCTCTCTGTAGCAGGTCAGAATTAGTAATCATTTTTTAAATAATAAATAATAATTTTAATATCAAACGTTTAATATAATTATTTATATCTAGATATATGAATATAGACAGAATATCAGGACGGATACATTAATATAATTGCACTTTATGGAATGTAAATAACTTTAATAACCTACAGATCAGTGTTGCCAACTTTAAAACATTAGGCCTCATGCGAAGTAGTAAAAAATCTATTATATTAGCTCAATTCTACTCTCTAACGTCATATAAACCAAAAAGTATAAATAAATAAATAAAAGTAAAACCCTGTAAATAGTATTTTCTGAAATAAAAATGTATAACAAAATTTTAATTTATTGTAATTTTAATTATGTAGTCTTACTGAAAATTTCAGATTCAAAATTGTACACACTGATTGCAAAGTCATATAATTTTCAATTTTGAGATTCATAAAATATTTGTATTTGCAATCAGTTTAACTAGATTAAACGTTTTGCGCATGGCAAACCTGTTATTCTGGTGTAAAATAAGCCACTAGGCAAATACGTACATAAGTCACTAGAGAAACATAAGCAAACAATATCTCCTATCGGATATCCATCTGTAAATTTCTGAGAAATCTACAAAAAAAACTGAGATTACATGAGATTCTTTGATTAATCAGTCACTGAGGAGAGATGTTTACGTTTAACATAAAGTAAAAATTAAATCATACTAACTCTAAATAAAGCTGTATTTTTTTTTCGAATTAATGTCTATATACTAAGACTTATATGTCACGGTAGGTACATTCGTGTACTATCGGCCATTTATTAGTATATTTAGCAATTCCAAATCCTCATAATTTTAACAATTAAAAAATAACAGTAGATACTTGTCAAGTGGTTAATACGATAAAGTATGCCATTGCAATCGGTCGCTAGAAGAGCTAATGAAATGTTTACTTACGTAAGTTTAGTTAAACTTAATTTATATATCTAATTTAAATTTGTAATTTGTTTAAAAATAGATGTTATAAATAAAATTATGCATAATACATTGTTATATAAGTAGGTATGTTTTTAAGAGATGCTAATAATATCTCTCGTATTTATAAATATTATTACGGTTATTTCACCAACGCTAAGCATTTAAGCATTGTTGTTTATACTGTTTCAGATACAAGCATTATAAGCATACACGTGGCAATATGTATTTAAAACATACTTTTAATGTTGCTCCTCCTTTTTTGAAGCCGGTTAAAAAGACTTGATATTTTAATATTATACATTAGTTGCATTAAATAATATTACTCTTACAATGATATGGTCATTGGTTATATATAATAGTCCCATACCTACAAGTTGGAGTAAATTCCTATAGATTTTTTTTTATATTCTTACCAAGTGTGAACAATTTTCAGCCGGTCTATTCTTGTAAACAATTTTAATAGATCAATATTGGAATTTGCCGTTATGCGCACTTTCTTATTCTTCACATGTACACTCATCAAATGACATTGTTTTGTTTTAATCTATTCCAAGAGCGGTACAAAGTGTTATTGGATCAAAGTTCATTTCTTATTTTTAAAGGTCTTCTACATCAAAGTTACACTCTGCAGATTTTGCCAAGCCAAAGAGGAAATGCTAAACACATAAACACATCTTATGTGGTTGTGACCCATGCATAAACCAAATATCTCCTTTGGAAAGTATACACTCTATCCTGAGAAGAATAAAACCATAGCTCCTAAAAATATCCTTCATAGCGAACTTTGAAAAAGGCGAGCACAATAGATCTATGTAGGTTGCAGCGCAGGTTTAAAGCACATGACAATAGTTCAGACCCCTAAATAAAAAAAAATCACTCAAGACAGTCATAAATGTTTTACACTGACAATAGTTTATATATAAGTATATTATTGTTCTATTCAACAAATAATTAATTATGACAATCTCTGTATATACGAATGTTGTATTCCAGGAACGGTATCTTATCTTCCACTGTCAGGTTGCAGATGTCCTGTGAAATAATAAATAATTATACCTTCACGATTGTAAACCAGATGAGATAGGTAGAGGTATTTTTAATAATTGATAATGGAATGATGCACCCAATGCGTTAATTGTAACACTGGAGCATGATATGGTCAGGTTAGTTATCCATCGTAACAATTTCAGCAGGAATGTATCATGATGGTTTCCAAGGAGAACCGAAACTTTGAATGACATATTTTTTTATATTTAATCAAAAGCTAACTAAAAACAAGTTTAAATTTCTAACTTTAAAAATGACGATACTTCCATAATACCTTTCTTCACTGTGCGGAATCGAACCCGAGATCATCCGGAATAAAGCGATATGCTTTTAGCGGTTTACCGCTAGACAACTGAGGCAATCGCTTTATATTAATTCACCTAGCTATAGAGATTTTGGACGAAATTTTATACCAACCTCAACGGGCATGGCGACAGCCCGTATTCTCATGAAGCTGTCAACGTTACAGTCAGTCCGTAGAGGCATCTTGGAGGTCCACATGTCACCATTGGGGACCAGCTTGTGGCACGCCTCGTGTTTGCAATTATGAAGGTCACAACGTCGGAATTCCCTGTGACTCGACGACCTGTGCCATGAAGTACTTATTTCATAAATACATTTCCCGTATCCACTTTTAAATAAATTACAATCATACTAAAATTAGTATTTACAATATAACCTGACGGCCTCGGTGGTCTAGCGGTTTAGCACACCGCCTTACTTCCGATGGTCGCGGGTTCGATTCCTCGCACGGCACAAACATTTGTATTCATAAGTATGATTATTTGTATCGGTCTGGGTATTTTCTATGTATAATATGTTTGTTTGTTTGTTTGTAATTCTTTATTGTACAAAATATTAATAGATACATATGTCTTATAAAAATAAATAGATGGTACAATGGCGGACTTATCCCAAAAGAGGGATTTCTTCCAGTCAACCTTTGAGTGACTGAAAGGAATTGTGGAGTGGTGGATATAAGTACAATAAGAAAATACGCGTCGAAAAGCAATATGTATAAAAATATCCTACAAGAAATAATAGTGAATCTAATAATAATTTTAATAGAAGCATAAATAATAACAACAAAATATAAATACATAAACATATATACATATACAGTTATACACATACATAAAAAAAAATAAGAGAAAATATTATAAACAATTGGAGTATTAAAAGAGCGCAGACTCGGAATGACCCCAGAGCTTGCAAAGGCGTCTTTTAAGGGTGCTAGTCGAAGGCGATAATTTAATCTCTGTAGGTAGTGTATTCCATAGTCGGACAGCTTGAACAGTAAAAGATTTAGTGTACCGGTGACTAGTATGAGAAGGATATGTATGTATTTACGAAAAAAAACATATCTATGTATTTGTATCAGTTGTCTAGTACCCATAACACAAGCTTTAGATAGCTTAATTTGGGTCTAGATGGCACTGTGTGAATTGTCCTGAGATTATTTATTTATATTTATTTATTTAATATGTTCCTATAATTGGTGTTTCTAATGATCTAGATTCTTTTGGAATAATATAATAATAATAATAATCTTTATTTAATTCAGACGGATCGTTACAATATTATTTATACAATAGGTACACTTTCTAGACAATATCATTTCAGTGTTTCTGTGTAGTCCTGGCTTCTAAACTAGCAATAGCTGTATGACAGAAGCCAGTTCCTTCCCATTACATGAACTTTTATCTTAGATTGATGAAAACTATTATAATATTTAAACTCCTTTCCTATATTATTTCACTCACTTTAACATAATTAGTCTCAAGCACTCTAGTTGAGTTTATTTCCACTTTAAACTCAAATAAAAAAAAAAACAAATAAGTCACCATTTCGGAGGAATAGCATATCATACTTCCCGTAATATCTCAACCTTTAACTGAAACGCAGCATTAAAGGAGCGACAGAAGTAGAGGAGTAAGAGATATACGCAAATGAGTTGGTATCAAATCAAATCAAGTTAAATTTGTTCAAATCAAATTAAGTTTTGCGATAAACACAGGTTGAGTTGTGATAGTGAAATATAATGTCCCAATAAAAAAAAAAACATATACATATCCAATGATGCAAAACATAATGTTTTGCCTAATTGGATATGTAGTTTTTGTTCATTATCAAAAACATTTTCGGTCAATTCAACTATAAACAAATTATTGCATTTTTAGGTACTTAGAAAATAATTTAAAATGTAGATCATTTGTGGAGTAACCAATTATATACAAAGTTTTGAGTAAAGCGATTATTAGAACCCTAAGGTGTCAACATTTACAGGTATATTTTGGGAGCTCTCTTTTTTATGTTATATCTTTAGACTAAGTTACTCGTTTAACTATATATAATAGAGGTGAGTGTTAAAATTTTATAATTAAAATTAAAATAAAGTACTTACCTGAACGTTATATCGATGTTCTTATAATTTAAGCAGTGTGACACCCTTACGGTGTAGTTGAATGTGTGCGACATCCTTGGACAAACGGTCTCCACGAATACGGACGTGTTTGTTATAGTTTGCCCGGATAGTACGCCCACGCTTACCTTGTCGCATTCTGAATATACTGTAAATAATATTTATTATTATAAAATATAGCTCTTCCTGGAATTTAACAAAGAAGTTAATTAGAGAATTTCTCTAAAATAAAAGTAGCCTAAGTTACTCCTATTATATCAGCTACCTGCCAATAAAAGCCTCGTCAAAATCGGTCCAGCTATTTCAGAGATTAGCCGGAACAAACAGACAGACAGACAGACAAAAATTGTAAAAATGTTATTTTGGTGTATGTACCGTATTTATCTTCTTATTATTATTACAAACAGACACTAAAATTGTATTTATATGTATAGATAAAACATACGACCCGCCCGGTTTCATACGGTTGCAAATTAAAGTAGGAACTCTATTTTTCAGATGAAATACAGCTACTTTTATTTGACGATAAAGTAGCTTTAAATAGGTTTTTAAAAATTGTAATAGGTTTTTTTAGTTCAGCCAGTACAGTACAACTAAAAATAACATCTGAACTATTAGCATATTATATACTTATAGCGACTTAAATTATAAAGAAAGAAAGAGAGAGAGACTTGATTTTATCCATATTTGTTTGTAATAATAATGACAAAAAAACCTACAGTGTGTATACATAGATGGACTATATTTTAAATGAGCAAGGACGCGAAAAGGATCTTATTATAATACAAGTTAAAACAAAGAAGAAAATGAAATACGACACTTTAATATAATAGACAATTGAAAAGGGGTGTTAATTTATTTATATATGTTGATTTTCTTGAATAAATTTTCAATTAAATGTGACAAACAAACTTTTGAGAAACTTACCATCTTCACTAAAATTTTCCTCCGAGCTACTCTTCAAAACCTCCTGATTAGTTTGTCTCGCGGTCCTCTTCACAACCCCAAGAGCTTGGATTAAGTCCCTTTTCATTCTAACACTTTCCGTTCCATTCTGCTTATTCGAGTCCAGAAGATTGGACTCTGCTATAATTTCATCGTGCAGTTGACTCTTAAAAGAGTCGTTGTCATTTTTGAACGTCGAATGATTCTTCTCCCCGTCTCCTAGAACTGGTATGTTGGGTAATTTATCTTTGGGCAAGGGCTCTAGTGGTCTGGCGAAGGTTTCGTTCAGTTCTTTATCTGGTTTTGCTCTTTCTAACGGTTCTTGGTTCTCGTACGTTTGTGGTGTATCAAGACCGCATGATGACTGTGGAATAACATCTGAATCAGTATCAAGTAGAATAGAGTAGATTTTTAATAAAAATCGTAGTTAATAGAGATAGTAGCTAGCTTCTGCCCGTGACTTTGTTTGCGTGACCAACATAAATAGTTGTATTATGTAACTTATATCTCCCATAACTATTCTTCTCTATCCCAAATACTACCTAGGTACGAAATTTCATAATTAATAAACTCTGATTCGCATAATATATGGTTGACTGGTACAAGATGCCGTAAGGTGTTATGAAATGAAATATAATAAAAACAAATGAGTATTTATTGCCCAAATGTTATGGTACATAGTATGTGTTTTTTAAATCTTTATTAGTTTCACACAATTTATCATTTCTGACATGTAGCAGACAAATGTAAATATTCTTATAAATAAACAGTCCGCCATATGTAACTTTACCTTGGTATTACATGCATTGAACTCATATAAAATACAAATAATAAGTATTTTATGACAATAAATATATAAAATAGCATCTAACAATGAATTAATATATTTATAAATATATACATATATCGCAATGATATATATAAAGGGATAATGAAACCAAAGCATTTTTTTATATTTATTCTTACCAATATATCTTGGATCCATCTAGTGACACGCTTGAATTCCTTTTATATAGCAGCATGAAGATATTACATTCACATTAAGTAAATAGTTAACATTAATGACTACAATACTGTATGGGGTGAACAGAGATATTTTTGTGTCCGATTTTTACGTTACATCAAAGCTTAATGCGGATTTTAGTATACTAAGATTTCAATTGACAATTTTAACTGCATTTATTTTATATTTTTATTTATGTAATTGGAATTGCAAAACAAAATGACGTGATGGTAAATGGTGACCGTCGGCTATATATATGAACAAAATCACGGAGTTCACTCATATTTCGTTTGCATCACACTTACTTGATTTATCATTATATTTTGATTTATCAATTATTTTATATTTATTCCAATAAGCTATCTTATATATAAAATAATTGAAGAAGATATTGAAATTTTGTAGCGTAATATATCTTCTTCAACATCTATTTATAACCTAAATGTTAGGGGTAGTCCACCCCTAATTTTTTTATTTTATTATAAGGCAAAACAACGTTTGCCGGGACAGCTAGTATAAATGTAAAGTTTCAGCAAAATCCGTTCAGTAGTTTTTGCATGCAAGAACGAAAGATTAACATCCATCCATCCACCAATACTCATAAACTTTCGCGTTTATAATATTAGTAATATTACGGCGATAACAATTAAATATACTTTGAGACATAAGAAGACTGGAATAAAAAATAAATGAACAATTATGACCTCACCTGGCACTCGGGATCCAATTCGTTGAGGTTGACGGGGAATGCGCAGCCGGCACCTATCACGTCCGAAGTCCGTGACAACGCTATCAGCTGCTCCAACGGTGCTTGGGATGTCTGTTCTATATCTGAACAAAGTTAAATATACTCACGACTGCAATCACGTAGAGGTAAACAGAAATATTAAGTATAATACAGAGAGATTTCCTTATTACTAAATAAAAATAAAGTTGTAGTTAGTTTTCTTTGGTTGAGGAACAGATATAATAATGTTTAATGTATTCGGGTTACTATAGTTACTACAATATACGCCGCTTTGAATTCTATTATAAATAAGGCGATTGCCATTCGGGCTCCTAAATATCTCGAGGTATGGAAGGAAGACACAAAACCATATGTTTCTTCCTCGTGTTTAACTTATAAACTCAATATTATCACGTCATATACTTTTTAATTGATGAAGTATAATAATAATATCCATGGACAATTTGCATGGCGCCAACTAGTACCTAGGTAAGCAGAGCTTGTGTTATATGTACTAGACAACTGATATAAATACTTTTTTTTTATAAATACATACATAACATATATAAAAAACCTGCGTGTTCAATACCTCTATCGCTTCTTTATGGAAGTAAATAACAACCCTGCATATTTAACACAATGCACATCTAGAACCAAGCTAACAAGAGCTTGCGTTATGTGTACTAAACAACTCATAAGATATTTAAATATTTTTTTATTGTAAATACATAATATATATAAAAAACACCCAGACATAAATTGCAACAGAAAGTATTCCACTCCATACGCCAGAGGTTCATTCTAAACACATAAAATTTCTCAAAATAAAAAACCTATTTTGCTAACTTTCCTTCTTAACTACACTTCTTACGTAATTAATAAACCAAAGTTATGGAGATGTATATGAATGATGGTACGCACTGTTACTAATGAAGTTCTTCACATAGTTCCTTGAGGCTAGCAGTGTTGTGGCGATCGTGTGCGGAAGATCAGTGGGCTGACTGGTACTGTACTCTTGTGTCGTTTTATGAGGTCCTTTCTCTGCCAATAATATTATTTTTATAACAAAACAAAATAATGTAAACTAGTAGGTATATATGTAGAAACTTTAGCTAAGATTGAGTGCGTAGCGGTTTTTATGTAGATTATCGCATGTCTACTATTGCTGTGTATTTATATATTTAAAATAACATTTATTTAAAAGAGCACCACAGGTTTTTTGCTCGTTATTCTTGTATTGAGTCTGCATTCCAAATGAATGGTAAAATAAAATAAAATATGACTAATCAAGAGAGCTTATATTAAGTTTATTTCAATACAGATTATTTCTATTGCTATTTAGAAATTAATTCCTAATTCAAATGATGCCTGATATCAATCTTCTATAGGGAGAACAATTGTTCACGATTAAGCCAGAGAGGGTAAGGTTAAAAGTACGAGAGAGCAAAATTATAGTATACAAGCGACGCCCGCGATGTCGTCAATTTAAGTTTAAAATTGTACTATCTTTGAATGATATATTTATGCATATTTAATCAACAGCTTAAAAAATAAGTATCAAGCTTCCAGCTTTAAAAATGAAGATGTCTTCATACAACCTTTCAATTTCTTTGTTCGCATTAAAAAGTAGCCTATGTCCTACCATCAGGTACGCCATCACCTTAATTATAATACACCTTTTCACAATTTGAATAATTATAATTTCAAAGTATAAATTAAGCAATATATTATGATGAAGAACGAACCTTTCACTGTTTTCTTCACTGTCGCATGTTGAGAAGGTTTTAAATTCTGAAATAAATATGAAATTATTTAGTTTTTATTTTTAAGATAAATAGGATTACACTCTTTTTTTTTAAATAATTTCGTACTATCTACCTATGACCTATTATATTACTTTATGAATCTTATTTACTATTTATATTTTTAATAACTATCTATTAAAATTAAAGTAGATTTGTAAATTTTACTTTTTAGTTATTTATTCTGTAATTTAGTTTCTACTATCAAAACCAGCTGTGTGCTTCATATTAGAAAATCTAACAGCCAGGTATTGGTAGTCTTTTTAAATAATTTTATTAACATTTAGTTAGTATATAGGTAATTTTATTACTCGTTTGGCAATTATTTTTTTAGGAAAGTGTATTTATTATTCATGTAAAACGACTATTCAATATTATAGGGTTCCATAAAGAGTTCAATGCTCGTTTAAAGAAGGAAGTAAGTACCTGTATTTGATTCTGGTCCGGCGGCGCTCTGTGCGCGTTGTTCAAGTTAATTTTACTATAATGCGGGTAGTTTGTATATTTGTCGTGCATCCTCGTCTCCTTCATAGAGAGCAATTCTTGATGTTCTCTGAAGTATAAAGCTGACATCACCACTAAACTGTAAATAAAAATTCAAATGTTAATAGAACCATTAGTTTCTAAAGATATCTAAATATTGATATAAACATTGTTTTAATTGAAAAATTACGACAGGTGAAGATTCTCTCTCACACATTATTTATACATTACTAACTTCTATTTTAATGTTCCCATGGAAATTCCAATGGTTCCAATGGAATCTGTAATATATTTTTATGTTTTTATCTGAAATGGCAAAAAAGCTGACAAGATGGTAAGTAGTAACTATCGACTATGCACCACGGACATCACTCATGAGCTCCGTACTCCGTAATTTGTAATTCGTGCAACAGCAAAGTCGCTCTTCCGACATATAAAGCTTATAAACAATGAGGTGTATGTTAAGATAAGAAATGCAGAACGACACTCACCATACGGCCATAATAAATATCAATATAGTTATAACTATTTGCAGAAACTTGTTCGATATCAACTCGTTGCTGGCATCGTAGGTATTTTTCCTTTGACAACAAAAAGGTAATCGAGAGTTGCTATACGAAAAATCATCGTCATCCCTCAGCCAGAGACAGGAATCCTTCTTCGAAGCTGAACTGTAATTTTCCTCTGGCAACTTTTCTATCCGACTGGAATCCGTTTCTGTATATTTCGGGTCCAGTTTTTCCGTTTTATCTTCTTTGCTGGACTGATAACGGATGCATGTTTTGTTGTAATTGTAAAACTTGCCATATTTAGAGTTCCCTTGACAGTTCTTGCACTGTTTTTTGGTGAAACGTGGCGAATTATGGCTCAGTTTATGGCAACATTCGTGTTTTCGGATATTTCGCGCAATACCTCTAATTGGATCTATGGATATTTTACTATCGCTGTAGTTTGTTCTTGATGTATTCGACATTACTGAGTATCGAGAGTCTGAAAACATTGTTTTATTATGTATAACATGAAAAATAATTTATGTTTATGTAATTGATTTATCTAGTCTCGTCGTAATCGTGTAATCACATGTATATAATAAAATCATAATCGAGCCCCATGTGTACGATAAATAATTATTAATATAATACTAGTGGTCCCCCAGTGGTCAAATTTGACCATGATTAATTTAACATTCATAAGACTATAGACAATAATATTAATCTGTTTGTAATTTGACCACAGAGTTTAATAAATAAAAGAGTATATATGTATGTGTGTCATATACATGGTAGGGTGTGTAATTTTTTTTATTGATTTAATATAATTTATACATAATTAAAAAAATATGCATTCTGCATTCTGTGCTAAACCGCAAGACCGCTGCTATAAATTACATACCATTGCTAACACTCGATCTGGAACTGTCTCTTCGCTGCAGTATACTGATCCGACACAATTTCTTGTTGATCCTTTCAAGTTGGTCGATCCTTGACTCCAAGTTGCCGGTTACTTTGCATAATTCTTTGACTGCTCCTAAGTTTTCCATGAAGATGCGATCCTGTAGGCGAACGCCACATATGTTTTATTATAACATACATACTACACAATACATAATTATAATTTAAAAAGAAAATCAAGTGACAATCAGGTTCGTATTTTTACCACACGTTTTTCTTTCTAAACTCTACTTTCTACTGTCTCTAGAATAAGTTCTACTACTACTAACATACAAGTTTTACTGTATAAATAAATACGTGATTATAAATATTTGTTTAAAAATCATCTCCGTATTATAAGTGTGATAATTTGTTTGATTGCTACTTACACAACCTCCTAAAGACTGAACAGATCCTAATAAAAATTTACGTGAACACAGATCACGAGAACAGATAGACTAGTACAAAATACAGGTGAACATATTTTGACGTACATTCGCTTCGATTCGTTTTTCCAATTTAGAATAGAAAGTCAAATAAACTTAAATTTAAGCATTTCGAAATAGTAAACTTATTTTTTTAATCTTCCGAATGAGCGGAAATATGTCTTAGGTCAAGAAAATCAACCAAGAAACTTACGTATTGCTCTTTTCAATAATTGCTGTAACTTTATATTTTTAATTCAATTTAAATATAATGTTTGAATATAAACTACCAACTAGCACTAATTTATTAGGGTCAAATTGAATACATAATAAGATTAAATAATAATGTGATTAGAGCAAACCAGTCTTTTCAAACTGCACTCGTTCACGAGTATGACTAAAACTGACCTTATTTACAACCAAGAATTTAGATATGGTATCCCCATTGGAGAGGATCATGTCTCCCGCCTCCTTCACAGCTTCCGGGAGAACGGTCCTCACTTCTTGGGCGATAACCCCCGTGTCGTGCTGGGGGGTGGGGGCGGAAGGGTCGTAGCCCAATAAACCGGAATGTTCAGCAAATGAGGGGTCGTAGTTGAATCTGTTAATATATAAATATTTAAAGCAAATTAGAAGACTTTATTGGTCCAGTTAGCAAGACAGGTTTTACATTCCGATGTTCGTAGATTCGATTCCCATGTTTATATTCAAGATTTCGTTCATAAGCGGCTAAAATGTCCTACATGAATAAATGATTTTTGAATTTGAATTTGAATTTGATTACATGGTCTTTTTATGTACATTATGTATGTATTCATAAATTTTATGACCTGTTTGGTATACTATACCATAAGCTCTACTTTGTTTAGGATTGGATGGCGCTGTGTGAGTAATCCAGAGGTATTTTTATTTATTTATTTATTATTCTATTATTTATATATTATAGTTGTACTGTAAAATAGTAAAATAATACAAAATTATCATGGATTAATATATACTCAGTTTAGCACACCGCTTTAGATCTGATGGTCGCGGGTTCGATACCTCGGAAGAGATATACATTTGTATTCATGAGTATTGTTTGTATCCGTCTGGTTCTATTCTATGTATATTATGTATGTAGTCAAATATTTCTGATGGGTCTAGTATCCGTAACACAAGTTCCGCTTAGCTTGAGACTAGATGGCGTTGTGTGAATTGCCCAGAGTGATTATTATTATTATTATATGCGTGACTTACTTCACAACTCTAATACTTTGCACGTTGCGTAGTTGCTGAGCGGTGTCCAATTCTTCAATATTGTGTTTTGCTCTTGCATCAGATGGATGTAATATTCGACCCATTACTTTCAGATTTCCTAAAAATTAGATATGCATTATGAGTTTAGAGTCTGTGGTACATATCCGAAGTGATTTAATTATATTAGCTACTAGCAGAGCCCGCGGTTTCACCCGCTTGGTTTTGTTTTGTAATTTGTAAAGTTCCAAAAAAATCTGTTCAGTAGATTATTCCTGAAAGAGTCACAAACATCTATCCATCGATACTCACAAACATTAGCGATTATAAAATTAGTAAAACTATTTTCTGTTATAAATGTGTTGTCCTCCAATATATGTAAACAGAAAATATATAAATATATATACTCCTGCGACTATTATCCTAGGTGGGGTAGCCAGAGGTATTACTTATCAGTGGTCGAAATCGTTTTTTACGGAACACTTAACATTTCGAAAAAAAAAATGTCAGGTCCACTAGACCGTCGTCGTCTCTTGAATTGGTTTCTTTTGTTATTGTTGTTGCCATCACCGGAAAGTCAGTCAGGTAAATTGACATTGGCGCAAAGTTTTTTTAATGATGTGTTCCAGATTTATACTAAGTTGAGGTAACTAAATTTATCAGTGGTTTATTTTAGATTTGAATTCATTACCTTTCTATCTAAGTTAAAGTATTAAACAACTATGCTATATCTTAGCTGACACTTCTTAATGACACTTTTAAAAATGATTATAAAATATAATGAAACAAATAAAAAATGTTTCACATATATATTGATATCATTACTTATTAAACATCATTGGATGATTAAACGTTAAAACCAATAGGAATAATATTAAACGATAACAGTTGGTAAAAACCACATATTAACTTGTGGTTTCCATCAACTGCTTGCATTAGAAACCGTAAATCCTAGTACTTTAGAAGATAATAGATTTAACCACAGAGTCATATTTATATAAACTAATAATATAATGTATACTCTCAGAGTCGTAAATTCTATTTTTGTTCCGAGTACTCTAATGTTGGCCGCAGCTGCCCTTTACAGTTTTACCAGACGACATTGGGCGAGTGCGCAGCAAACACGCGGAAGGACTTATGAAGTGGCTGAAGACCAGCTCCCGCCGGACGAATACGACTTTAGTCTGAGATCACCGCCAGGGGGTTCGAACCTCAGTTCTGCCATCATAATTTCGATTCCCGTTTGAATTATACACAAAAATGCTAACTATGCTCTTGTAGCAACTGGGGTTTTCGTTACCAGTTCTGAGATACATTCATACTTACTTTAGTTATAGTTGCAGTTACTAAGAATGTATATAGTATCTTTGCATAGTATAAAACAAGGTCGCCGCTGCTGGCTGTTCGCTTATATCTTTTAATTTACGCAACGGATATTAATGCTTTTTTCAGCAATAGTTAGAGTGGTTCAAGAGGAAGGTTCATATGTATAATACATGCGTGCCATAGTATAGACAAGTCGAGAAACTCAAAGATTTGTAATGCATCCATACGAAGCCGGGACGGCTCGCGCAGAGTCAATATTCATAGTTAAGACCTGACAACGTGAGCCGGTCAGATAGTTAGTAATATAAACAGTTTACTCACCATTAACGACACAGGATTCATCCGGCCTGTCAGTGTTTATCCCGACCCGTCCATTGAAATGAACACTATTATCCGAAACTCCCCTCTGCCACCAGTTTTCCGTGCAATCTGATTCAAACTGTCCAGGATTCGATGCCTTTAAAAAATTGTAATTTAGTGAAACATTTTTAGGCTCTATTTTTACGATTGTAAACGAGACGATACATACTATTATAATATTATGTGAAAATATGTCTGTCAGTCTGCCTGTTACTTAACTTTTTACATCTAAACGGCTGAACGGACGTTAATCAAATTTGGTATGAAGATAGATTATACCACGAGGAATTTTTTATGGTAAATGGTTAGAAATTCTGATAAATGACAAAGTTACGGGTAATAATTAGTAAAAAAAAATGAATAGAATTTAGCCAGTTATTTTTACAATGGTAGGTTGTACCTACCACTATTTATCTGCAACCTGTCCGCATGCTTATTAATTGAGATAAAAGTTTCCAGGGATGTTACGTGCGCTTTGCCGACCTTTAAGAAACCTTAATATACCCTTTTTGAAAAACGCCACGCTATAGTCTCGTGGCAGATAGTTCAATCCACAATCTAAGTGTATCCGTGAGGAAGCTCCTCTGAAACCGCACTGCCCCAGACCATTTAGGTTCTAACGTGTGAGGATGTATTCCCTGTCGATGATTTTATTCATGTAGGCTTATTACAGACTCTTATATTTCAATAACTACCGTCAGTTCAGAGAGCATTCGAGGTAAAAATAACTGACAAGAAACTCAACTCTTATAATTTTTAAATGTACTTGTACATGTTTTAAAAAATAATGACACTAAAATAAACTAAAATACTATACTCACCCTGACGATAATTCTGTCACTGGCGTGAGCTGCTATCATGAAGTCAGCATGTGACGTGTGAGCTCTCAGTGCTACCACTAACTGAAAATGTCTTTGGTCGGGATTGGGCCTCCCTTTCTTCCTCATATTATTGTTGGTGGTTTCGGCAAAATGGAGACGCCCTACGGTGACTTTAGCGCCTTCTCGACGGAGCTCAACACTAAAACATTGTATCGGTAATATAATATTAGAACCTTATTAATAAATTCATATCTGGCCCTTTTGAATAGAAGATATCATAATTACCTGTTAGGGAAAATACTCTCTGCTACCAAAATGTTAGGGAATTTACTATGTATATATATTAATACACGATCTCGAAGATATCTTCGCTAGCTTTTTAATTTACTATATTTTTTCACAACACAATGACCTGGTTGCTCGAACACAAACTAACGGACCACGATGGTACAGGGTAGATTTTGAACATTACCTTTACTTTAATACATGACCTTTTTAATTTACTATATTTTTATGACCTGGTGCTCGAGCCAACACTAATGGTATACGCCGACGGATCAGAAGTGGAGGTTAATGAAGTGTTATCCCATCATGGAGAAGTCTGGCGTGATACCTTAGGGTGTAACTATCATGGTATCGTAGAATAAATAATACTATGAATTAACAAAATGTATAATTCTGTTTATTTCTCAAATTATGGTGATCTTTTTTAATGCTTTTAAAATAGTTGAACACGAGAATTGTATAAACTCTGTGATTAGCGGCCTAATACATAGCTTCATCTTATGATTATTTATGTCTTTGTATTTTACAAATATTTGTATACAAATAGTATTAAAAAAAAGTATTTTAGTTATAATAGTAGATTAATACCTACACAAGGTCTAATAAGTTTGAAACTATTTTTATTATGTAATATGTTCAAGATATACATATACTGCTTATGGAACTTGAAATCAAATATTTTTTTATATACTACTATAGTGGCAAACAAGCATTCTTTCTGATGGTAAACGGTTAACATAGCCATGAAACACCAAGGTTGTCCCGTGCGCGTTGCCGACTCTTAAGAATCCTAAATACAACTGAAAAATTATAGTCACTTACGGCACTGGGTGAAACGGTTTCTTTGTTCTATCTGATTGACTTTGTTCCACTCTCACTTCTTGGCTCGGATCTTCTGCCTGTATGAAGAAGGAAAGGATATTTATTGAACTAATGTGATTTAGTTTTGACATAGTATCTGTACTTCATCAAATTCGATAGGTGTTATTTTGTGGAAGTTCATTTCCTTCTTTCCTGTATAATTGTTATATTATTTTGTTTCATTCCGCTACCATTATTTGTAAGACTTCAAATATTCAGTGCTGAAACCTGACTACCACTACTGTAAACATTATAACATATGTTAATGGAGGCGCAATTAAATAAAATAACATAAATCCATTATGTAGATAGTTTATCTGCCTGTCCCTAATGTTCCTGCTAATAAAGAGCTTGCTTTATAAGCTGTGTTTCTGTCTGAAGAATTATGTCAGAGAAATTACAGGGTACACCTGACACCTCAGTTCTTAGTTATAAGCCACTGAAAGCGCGTATAAGTTTAAAGCGAGTACAAAAAAAGAACAGAAATAACAGGTATTTTGTCGTTTGAGTACTGTAATTTAGTGATTTGGGTGTGAAATTAAAAAAAACTAAAACAATGTGTTATTCAGTAGCGTTTACGAATAAAGTGGGTTTTTGTGGTACCGACATTATTTGGTGACCGACTGTTACAGATCACTTCTTTTTTCGTAACAGTCGGCTTTATTTATGGATTTCAATATATATATTTTTTATTTTTATATTTATAATTTTAGATAATTTCTTTTTATACGTCATACATTTTGGTCAAGTCATGGCTTTATAGAGGTCCCCAGCTGGATTTGCAATATAGGTATAATATTAGAAAAGTATACGTATTTTCATATATATAGATATTATTACCTTAACACCATAGAAGTGTAGACAGAAGTTGTTAATTTTCTTAAAACCATCCGCCGTCTTCACATAGTGCGGGTCGCTCTGCGTTTGTATCTGGCAGGTCACCTGGAAGTGGTTTTTCTTCTGGCAAACAAATGCTTCATCTATTTGAGAGTAATTAAATCCTTTGTCGGCTCCTACCACGTATGAGGGAGATGATCTGAAATAAGTATCAAAACTCAGTATATATATATTTATACTTTGACGAATGTTATGCCAAATTAAATACGGGTACCTATTTTTAATGGATGTAATGGAATAGAGCACTCTCTTGCTCTAAAGGTTTATGCTGCACTAGTGCAGGATGATATGATGAACATAAAGTCGGGTCGTGGCAAATTCATCAGGAATTTACCATGCTGGTTTCCATGACCTAACATGACACATTGCCAATAAAGAGGACACTAATCCCCATTACTAACACCCTCTTCCCCCAACACGTAAAATTTATAAGTACAAAGCAAACAATACTTACAGAGGTTTGAGATTGCAATCGTATAACGTGTGCCAGGAAGCTTGTTGAAAGGTGGCAAATCTGATGCACTGGAGCGGAGCATCATCGCCCGCCTCAGAGCCGTCTACTGACGGTGGGGCTGGACGGGGCACGTGAGTAACACTCTCAGGAGACAAGGCCGCTACAAAATACATGTTAATTAAATACTAGCTCATCACACTTACTTAATATTTATCGTTATATATCACTCAATTTAAATAGTACTTTATTAAATTATATGTGTTATTCTGATGTATAAGCTTTTGCGTGAAAGATTAACAAACAACTGTCCATCTATACTTACAAACTATTGCCTTTATAATATTAGTAAGAATTAAAAAACAAAACCATAACATTTTTCCACCAATAAGCGAGTAGGAGAGTAGCAGACTTAAAAGAATCTAATGTAAAAGTAGCCAAGTTACTCCATATAACATTAGCTATTTGTAAGTGAAAATCTAGTCAAAATAGGTCCCACCGTTTCAGATATTAGCAAGAACAAACAGAGAGACAAACAAAACTTTTGAAAATATTTTTTTATGTGTTCAGTTAAAAGTTATTAATTTGATATTACAAACAGACACTTCAATTTAATTATTTGTATAGATTATATCTTACCAGGTTCACATTTGACTTGAGAATTTGTATCTTGCGAATGTTTCCTCTTCTTAACACTAGGTTCTTGTAGACTCGTGTACACCGGCGTCAAGGCATCATGCCCTAACGCAACCAACTGCGGATTTATCATGCCCTGCTCCAATTCCGGCATGTCCACCCTCATTTGATTATATCTATTGTGATATGGGTCCAAACTGAGATCGTGTCTCACAGTTCTGATGCCCAACTCCACAATATTTGGGTCCGGTGGTAAAACAACTACATCGCTAAGGTTATTCCTTAAGACCTCATGATCTAAATTGTCCGATTTTAATTCCTCGTAAATATAATCTCCCTCTTGCTGTAGAATTTCATGGTTTGTTATGTGATCGTGTACGAGCATGTAATCTGAACCTAGAACGGTTTGGGAGACGGCTATAGCGTGAGGCACTTGTTCTGGACTATACGGGTTTTCAGATCCGGAGTCTGGTGGACTTTCTGGTAGTTGGTGGCCCCTGAATAAACGGAATACATTGTTTTATATTTATAACATATTGCTATTTTTATTAGAGGCAAATTACTAAATATTATATAAATTATTACATATATTAAATAAAAATCTGTTTTAAATAACGAATCTTGTGAATACGAATGACGAAATATGAACTTCTTTAAAAAACAGGAAATTCCAGATAATATTTTTATTAGCGTTAAATGCTCAATGAATAGCACTCAGTTAAAAATACTTTATAACTAACTAAAAAAATGAGAAACTCTTAATTTCACTTATTTTTGTATATACATATATATATATGTATATGCTATACAATATCTTGATGAATTCTGCGCGGCAGGAGCGCGGATTCTTTTTGCAATCAAAAAGTAGATATAAAAATAATAAAAAGAGTAGAGTAAGTGTGGAATACAGGCCACTTATTTGGTTATAACTATTTTATGTTTTATAATTAGTGTTTCTTTATAATATTAACATATACAATATATATATCCTACAACTCCCTGGTTTCCTTTATCGCCCACAGTAAGTAATTCATGCATGTATCAAAGACGAATATTACATAATCATACATACCCAAGTCGGCGAGCGTCGATTGGCTGCGGGGGGTAGCAGCTTTCGCCGACGGGGGCCATGTATGCTTCCAACTCGTCGATTAACCCCGGACCTATCAAAAAAGAATAACAAATATATTAATATAGATTGAACACTATATTTAAAAAAAAAATTTGTTAATAAGGTCACAGACATCAAAAATGGCAATGCATAGAAGCTACCACGAACGTCACAATGTGTGTATTTGTATGATCGTGTTGCTATTCATATATTAGGTATAAAAAAATATAATAATGTAGGTTCATATAGTAGGTTTCCATTTACAATCAGGTAAAACGTCAGCTTCTTTCTCATTGTATTAAAAAAACTTTAAGATAGTAACTTTATATTCTCCAGGACGAACGGACACTTTTAAGTCTCAAAAGTGCTTATACTAACTATTATATTAATAGTAAACTGTATTAAGTACAAAAAAATCAATTTTCGAAAATCATCTTATTTTGCATTTATATAACATTTTCCAATTCTTGTAATTTTTAAAACTTCTTTTACTGTACCTTCGTAATCTGTGTTGACCATTATATCAGTTGGACAACTACAACAAAAATACGCAACTACGATTAAAATAGTCGTCTTTATACGTCTACTGTTTTCTCTAATTGACCATTCTAGTGGAAATACAACACAATCACACACACATCAAGCATTACAACAGTTAATCCACTACTCCAACTATAAAAAAAAGTAATTATAAATTCTAGAAAATTCGATTTAAATCTTAAAAAGTACATTTTAATAGACAAATACCATATTATCGCATCAACGTCGTTTCTAGTTGTAAATTATGTACAACAATTCGCGGCCGGCAAGCCGTGACAAGCTAGAAATAGTTGCATCTATTACAATAAGCATTATATCACGGCAAATCAATTGAGAAATAGTTGATTTGAACACGTATGATCGTATGAAAATGATTGAAGGTTCTATACATGATTTTTTAATCTAAGTAATGGATTACAATCCAGTCCCATCGTATACTTATATTAGCTGACCCCGCAAACGTTATTTTGCTATTAAAATCTCTATTAAAAAATTGGGGTTTACGCTGGAAGCATGAAAATTTAAAGTTGTATGTACGTTTCAATCTTAAATCATAATAAAATATTATGTCGAAGAAATAAAAAAATAATATCTAGAGGTGGATATCCCTTACTAATTAGGGGTATGAAAAATAGATAGTAGCCGATTCTCAGACCTACTGAACATGCATATAAAATTTCATAAAAATTGATCAAGCCATTTGGGAGAAGTATGTTAACTAACATTGTGACACGAGAATTCTATATATAAGATAATCAAGATAAAATATTTGCTGACAATTATGCAGGTTCAGACAACAGCCAATTTTTTTTTATGATAATCTCTTATTTCGAACCTAAACATAATCAATAACTGCAGTACCCTAACGTCTCAGAGTCACTGACACTGAAACGTTGCAGTAGACGAGTGAGAGTGAACCGAGTCAATGTTTCAGTGGCGAACGATGCTCCGTTACACGCTGTTATATTATTTCTCTAGTTATCTTTCAATTTTGACCTCGTTTTATACCGACTTCAAAATATCTATATATTACGAAAAATTACGCGATCTTTTTCTTATTGAGTTCCCGATACTTCAGTAGTGTTTCATCCGCCGTGATCACGGGTAAATTAAAGAGCAGGGCGCAGATTTACGCGGATTGTTGTTTTTACAAACAACCAACCGCGTAAATCAGCTATAGCGGAACACTTGTTGGGATCGGGACCCAATCATTGCATTGAACTACACCAACTGAAGGTATTAACATCAGAACAACTCATATCCGAGGAATGGTCAGAGAGAGATATTCATTTATTTATTCTTACACACAAAATTATATACATGGCGGACTAAGGCCTTATGGCGATCTTTACCAGTCACTTGTAGCGCTGATCAGAAATAATAAGGCGGTGCAATTTAATAATAGATAAGATATAAATGTTTTCAATTCAGACACGTTTAACGAATACGTACAGTAGATCTGATGAAGAAGTTAAAAGCTAAAGAATCGCCTAGCACGATTTAAAAGAATTATAAATTTAAATTAAGCAAGACTTGTAAGTAAGTATAGACTCTGTATAGACCGTAAGAGATATAATAGCATCAATATAGAAAGATAGTATTTTTACTTAACATTATGTCTAAAACACCATCTTGTTCGCTTTAGTATCCAATTACAATTGTTCGACATTCTATCCAACCGGTACCCAAAGGAGGTGATCGAGCAAACCCTTCTAACTATCGTCCCATTGCTATTACATCCGTAATTTGTAAAGTTATGGAGCGTATATTAAATAACCATCTTTTAACGTACCTAGAAGACAATGAGCTCCTCAGTGATCAACAGTATGGATTTCGAAAAAACAGATCTACTGGCGACCTCTTAGTGTACGCTACGCATCAATGGGGAGAAGCTATTGAAAAATATGGTGAAGCTCTTGCTGTATCTCTTGATGTTTCCAAGGCGTTTGACAGGGTTTGGCACGATGGACTTACAAGCAAACTTCCCTCCTTTGGTATCCCTAATAGTCTTTGCTGCTGGGTTTGAACTTTTTGAAAGATCGTTCGATAAGGGTAGTCATTGACGGCTGCTCTTCTGACCTCTTTAACATCAATGCCGGGGTGCCTAGGGGTCCGTTCTTTCCGCTACATTATATATGAATGATGTGCTTAAACCCAATTTATGACGATAGTACTATTTCAGATAGGTACCTGCTTAATAGTAGTGCCGGGGGGTATAAACGTCAGAGTTTGATTCGGCGAATAGATCAGAAGCTACAGACGGTATCTGACTGGGGTGATGCTAATCTCATGAGTTTTAATGCTACAAAAACCCAAGCTTGTCTTTTTTCCACAAAAAAGAACCCCTTTAACCTATCTCCAACTTTTCGAAATGCATCTGTCCCGGTTTCTGACCATCTCGATCTTCTAGGTTTAACAATATCATCCAACCTAAATTTCGGGGCATATATTGAATCTAGAGCTAAAACGGCATCAAAAAAACTGGGCGTCCTCTCAAGGGTTAGGAGATACTTCACGCCTGGACAGCTTTTAACGCTATACCAAGCACAGGTCCGATCTTGCATGGAGTATTGTTCCCACTTATGGGATGGATCCGCTCAGTACCAACTTGACGCTCTAGACTCAATCGACAGACGAGCAAGGAGACTTATCGGGGACGAATCACTTGTAGCTAAGAGGCTTCAAAGTCTTAATCACCGACGTAAAGTAGCTTGTCTATCGGTGTTCTATAGGCTCCATTTTGGCGAATGTGCTCAAGAACTGCACAACCTCATTCCTCCAGCACCGTTCCATCAACGTACAACAAGACGTAGAGAGCGGCTCCACCCCTACACTATTGACATCCCAGCTGCTCGAACTAACCGTTTTGCATCATCTTTCCTTATGCGAGCAGCTAAGGAGTGGAACTCTCTACCAGCGTCTATTTTTCCTGCCTCTTACAATATTGGGTCTTTTAAGTCAAGAGTGAATAGGTATTATTTGAGCTTGCGTGTAACAGCTTAGACCACATCATCACTTAACATCAGGTGAGATTGCGGTCAAACGCGCTCAAATTATGATATAAAAAAAAAAATAAATAAAAAAATTCGTATTGTAATGTTTAGCCTTTTCGCTTAATGTTGAATTCGCTAGTGTATAGCGACAACCTAGATATTGTATTGTCATTATATGATACATTAATATACATGGTTTATTCAATACAATTCTTTGCCTTCTAATAATAAAGACTGAATTGGACCAAAATTAGGGTTAAGAATAGATTCAAGATCAGACAAATTTTTAACTTGAATATGATTAAATTGATTGAGAGTCTCGAATTATAACACCATTTTCTGTAGGGTATGGGATTGTTAGTAATGAGAACTAATGACTCACTGTTAGCAATAGGCCCTTCCAATGTCCACGAACCTTTAATAATATTGAATATTTTCTAGTAAATTCTTCACGATGACCTAACTGATCTAACCTCACTGTTATACCATCAATTTTCACTAGTGCCACGCTACCGTATACTATAAAACATATACATTTTTGTATATTTATTTATATAATTTATACATTTTAATTTTGACATACTTGTCGCTGGAAGAAATTAGCATCTATGACAAAGGCTCGGTCTAGTTTAGGTAGAAGTAAATTCTTTAAAATGTATGCTGCGTATTTAATATGAAGGTTATTAGTTTAGAAGAATGACTGTACATTTGTAAAATTGGTGTCAATAAAAAAAAATATTGAGAGGAGTGCGAAGATTCATAGCACTCTTTGTAACGCACCTCTTTCGAAACGGCTTGACCGATCGAGACCAAAATTTCATCGAAGGTCGACCTTTGGGCCTCTATCGTTTACCACTCAAAAAAATTCGATCAGTCATGTCCTTGAGGAATGGTAGGTAATAAAGGTTGCTATGGACTTAGTATGGCGGAAAAAAATCGTGCGCTTCAGGAATATCAGGAATGACCTGGTGTGTAAACAACACAACGGTAACAAACCTAGTTGTTATTCTTTATTTTTCACAGCGAAGCTTTATTAATTTTAATTTTAATATTAATTTTATTAACGGGTCATGCCAAGTCTCTCGTTACCTTATTATTATCTATATAAAAAGCTTCCCCTAAGTTAATCGGTTAGAACAAAAATTATACACTGGCCAGATGCATTTTACGGCTGAATGGGCAAAAGCCATTGCGTCGCGTTTCACATAATTTTGTTAACAAATTAGTAATATCGGCGGGGTGCGTTACGCGCGTTCACTCAACCCTGTCATTTGTCGTTTATTTTCTTTCGGCAGGTGACTCTATATTTAACCTACTTCCAAAAGGACATCATTTTTATTTATACTACATTTTCTTACAACTATTACATAACTTTCACTTTATTTTTTTATTTCACTTATGTGTTATTCTGATGTATAAGCAGTAATTACTGTAAAGTTTCATCAAAATCTATTCATCAGTTTTTGTATGAAAGAGGAACAAATATTCATCCACACTCACGGGTTTATAATATTAGTAA